GTTGCTGTTACTAAGATATTTAGTAGAACGTCACTTGTAAATATAACTGCTTTATAACCCTCATCTGATGTCACCGTGCCCTTAAAGATATGTTGAACTAGTTGATAATTTGATAATATTAAATCAAATTCCGTAATGGTTTGCGGCAATTCCGGCCTTTGACGTAGTTGTTCTCTACTGAGAAGGCTTCTCACAATGGGATAAGATATCTTTGCAGCCGCTACTGAATTTCTATGAAAATAAAAGCAAATGTTAATCATATTATATACACATGTGCCAAAAATTTAATTGTAATATATTGCAAGATTAATATGTTATATAGTTCCTAATATTAATCTATTTCATAAATTTTATTTATTATGTTTTTATTATTATGCACTAAAAAAAAAATACTATTGAATCAATAGCATCAGTGCACTATTATAATCGGAGATCTTATTAATTCAATAATAATATTAACGAATCTTAAATATTCTCATTAAATTAATAAGATTTCCGATTGAATAGTGCCAATTACACACTGATCCTATTAATTCAATAGTATTTTTTTCAGTGTAATAAAATAACAAGGTAACAATGCTAAATTATAAATTGTTCATTCTATGTTTATACATATTCTAAATAATTGTATATGCGTTTAGAAAATGCGTTTATGAAACAAATATATGATATCAGTATTGAGTATCATTTTTTCCATCGTCACAAAAATAGCTATAAGTACAAAAGATAATTCAAAAGATAACTGAGCAAGCTATATATGTTGTGATTACCTATTATGCTTTATGATTAAAATGTTATATTACCTTCGGCATACAGTATCAAATATTTCTTTTGGCTTCATCAATGTTTTTCGACACATTCGGAACATCTCCTGCTTCATTTCGATTTGCTGCTGTATTGTTTTATTTGCCGGATGATTGTGTGGTGACTTTAAAATATATCTTCCTACTGCATTTAACATCAATATCGCGTAGCATTCCAATCTTTGCCTCGATGAGCACCGATAAATTCTTTTGCTTTGCTTGTCCATGTGATACACATAACCGTCGTGTACAAATACAGTCGTGCCAACACGTTCCCCCGGTAATTCTTTCATAATCATACATTTAACACACTCAATAAATATCCAATAAATTACACAGTGTCTATTGAACACACTTTCTTACCGCACACAATGAACAAGCGCGTTGCTCATCTTTATCATTTGCATTTTGCATGATCCGCGTCTACAAGCTGGCATCATTACATAACAATATAACAAAAAACGATTGCGATGTCTTTCATACCACGCGATAAGAAAAGTATGTAGGCGCTGAATAGGTATTTTATTATTTATAACCTATTTATTGCATGTATTAATTACGTGATTATGGAAGAGTTACCGGGAAAATATGTCGGCACGACTATATTTGTACACAATGGTTATGTATATCATATGGAAAGGAACTCTTACGAATATCTTTCGATTATCGACTTTTACTAGGAATATTCTTATTTCAAAGAATATTCAAACTATTGCAACGGTTACGTCCTAGACGCGACCCCAGTTATTTTGTTTAATTTATTAGCGATTGTACTTTGATGGAAATGGTAAAACGGCAGGATGGTACTCAAATGATTTAAATAAGATCGACACTGATTTTATGTGATATTTAACAAATAGTCTTTATGTAGAAAATACAACTGTGCGAAAACGACTAAGTTTCGATTTAATAAATTCGGCCCGACTGTCTCTCTATTAATTTCGACTGTTTCGACTGGTTCGGCGATAGAGAGTGAGAACTCGATCTCCGTTCTCTCGCAGGTCGACTTCGTCGAATATTCTCGATCCTTAGATCAGTTATAATTTAACATGAACAAATTATGAGGAGCGGGAATGCGTGCGCGCAGGATCTATTTTATCGAGGCGCTGCTCTCGATCAACCGGCTGCCGTCCGCTGGCGCCGTCTATCGGATGCTATTGCTTGCATCTTACAATATGGATAAGCGATGTAAAGGAATTTATCGGTGTTCATCGCGACGAAGTTTAGAATGCTACGCGACATTGATGCGAGATTCAATAGGAACGTATATTTTAAAATCACCACACAATCATCCAGCAGATGAGACAATACAATAGCAAATCGAAATAAAGCAAGAAATATTGCAGATGTTTCGAGAAACGTCTATGAAGCCAAAAGAAATATTTGATACTGTGTGCCGAAGGTAACACAACATTTTAATCATAAAACATAAAGAATAATTTCAAACAATACAATACAAGCAGTTACAATACAACAGTTTGTATAGTCCTCTTTTGAATTGTACTTATAACTACTTTTATGACAACAGAAAAAGAATGATACTTAACATACTAATAGCATATGTTTGTTTCATATATGTAAAACCATTTGATGGATTCGAAAACGTTTATGAAACAAATATATGTTATTTGGAATATAAATAAACATTGAATGAACAATTTATAATTTAGCATTACTTTGTTATTTTATTATAATAATAAAACATAATAAAATTTATTTACCTTAGGAAATAGATAAATATTAGAAATTATAACACATTAATCTTGTAATATATTACAATTAAATTTTTGGCACATGTGTATATAATATGATTAACATTTGCTTTTATTTTCACAGAAATCCAGTAGCGGCTGCAAAGATATCTTATCTCGTTGTGAGAAGCCTTCTCAATAGGGAGCAAAAACGTCGAAAGCCGGAATTGCCGTAAATCATTACCGAATTTGATTTAATATTATCAAATTATCAACCAGTTCAACATATCTTTAAGGGCACGGTGACATCAGATGAGGGTTATAAAGCAGTTATATTTACAAGTGACGTTCTACTAAATACCTTAGTAACAGCAACAGAAATTTATATAGATGGTACATTTTCGGTGAGTAATATTTCAGATTTAACATGAATAATGTATAGTATAAAAAGATGTGTCATAAAGATGTTAAATTTTGTTATAATTAACAAAAAATTGTATTTTTATTTGTAGGTAATTTCCAGAGAGCCATCCTTTGCGCAATTATACACCATTCACGCACGCTATATGGACATGGTAAGTTATAAGTGAGAGTATACATATTTTTAAAAATACGAATTTACAGTAACATTTATATATATATAACGTCATTTAATCACTAATTACTATATAACTACTGCAGTAGTACAAAATTATTAAATATATTTTTAAAATTTAAATTCAAAAATAATTAAATAAAAATATTAAAGAAAAGAATTTTCTTGATTTATCATTGAAAATTGAATTAGAACATATTAGCCAAAGTTATTCTGTTCTAAT